GGGAGGCAGGAATACTGCTGGTCATGAGCCTAGCCTTTCCTCCTTTCCTGGCTATTTAAAATAAATAAAGCTCTTATTTTTAAGTGAATTAATGTCATCTACTATAGGAAAGGCTCCAACCCAGGAGTCTGGACCCTACCATGGGCTGATCTTCTGCCTGCTTCCTTTCCAGAACTTTCCAAGGCAGGGTTGATTTAAATATCCTGAGTTTAGCTTTCTCTGGTTTTGACCTGCCAATAACCCCGATCCATACTGGATGGCAGACCCACTGTGGAAGTGGGATTTGGGGCTAAACTCTCCCAAATTCGGGGTGAGATTTTCCTGTTTTAATCACCGCAGGAGTAGACGTTAGAACTGTGTGCCCGTGGAAGTGGGATGAACGTGAGGCCAGAGCTGGGCCGGTGTGTTTGTATTACCATGAGAACCGGAGTGGAGCCAGTGTTTACACCCTCTCCTCTTCCTTCTTCCTTTTTAATGGGATCTCTTGATTATCCAGATGTAGGGGATGGGGCCAGATGCATGACTTGCTGACATTTGGGTGTTCCAAGTGCACAGATGTGTCTAGGGTAGAAAGGACTGACCTAAGTTTTCTCTTTATGAAAACAAATTCTCATCTTGAAACTCTTCAAGCTGGAAAAAAAAAAATCCAGAGGGAAAGAAATTTTTCTTGAACGAAGTTCAACTCAGTTTAATCATTTAAAAGAAAACATGTTTTACTCCTGCCCAAGTGGAGTCGCGTCATGTGACTCAGAGTTTAAATATAGCCGGAGCTCCTGTGTGCTCGAGAGCAGCCAACTTTTTCTGGCCACTCTTGACTTCACGGTTTCTCCAGACTTGTCTCCTCAGCCGTGCTTGCTTGCCCAGGAGTCGGGCCAAAGCCCACGTTCTTTCTGAGATCACGTATAATGTCAGCCTCATTTGGAGTCCTGGCTTCTGTATTAGAGGCTGGAAGACCCAGCCTGAGTGGGCCATCATGCCACATGCCCATGTCCACATGCCACATGTCCCAGCACTCAAGAAGCAGAGGCAGGAGGATTAGGAGTTCCGGGTCATCTCGGGCTATCCATAGCAAATTTGAGAGGCTTATCTGGACTACATGAGACCATCTCAAAACAAATCGAAACCGAGCCCAGGCTTATCCTGAGCCAGCAGGCAGCCCCCAAGATCATTTCTAGGGGTAGAGAGGAGTCTCTGCCCCCCAGAGAGTTGGGAAATTCTCAGGAATCTTGAAGAATAAAAGATAGAAGCTAAACTTCCGGGCAGGAGCCTCACAGCCATGTGTAGACTTTTGTTTTGTTTTGTTTGAGACAGGGTCTCACTCTGTAGCTCTGGCTGTCCTGGCACTCATTAGGTAAAAATAGGCTGACCTCAAACAGAGATCCACATACCTCTGCCTCTTGAGTTGTGGGGATTAAGGGCTCGGTCCACACCACGCCCAGCCCCATACCCAGGCATCTTTATGTAGAGATTATGGGGTGGTTGATGGTGGATGAAGTGTGAGACCCAGCTTGAGTGCTTTCTGACTAATTCTTGGAAAACAGCCTTGGCTGGTTAGTTTTTTTGTTAACTTGACACAAGCTGGGGTCATCTGGAAAGGAGAAACCTCAATTATAAAAATGCCTCCATCAGACTGGCCTGTAGGCAAGTCTGCGGGGGCATTTTATTAATTAATGATTGATGTGGGACTGGGCGGTCTAAGAAAATAAACTCAGCGCGCCATCAGGAGCAAGCTGGTAAGCAGCATTCTTCCACAGTCTCCGCTTTGGTTCCTGCCACCCGGTTCCTGACCTGACCTTTTTCAGTGATGGACTATGACCTGGGATGTGTAAGCCAAACAAACGCTCTGTCCCCAAGCTGCTTTGGGTCACCGGTTTAATCACAGAAACCGAGGAACCTAACTAGGACAGGACCTCAGCTCCAGCTCAGAACGTCCTTTTGGTAAACTGAGTCAGAGTGTGTGACGACACATCTGCAGTCCCAGTACTCGGGAGGCTGAGGCCGGAGAACCACCTAGTCAGAGGCCAGACTGGGCTACAGTCAACTGTCTCAAAAAGACAGAAATCTGCCAGGTGGTGGGTGGCGCGCGCCTTTAATCCCAGCACTCTGGAGGCAGAGCCAGGTGGATCTTTGTGAGTTCGAGGCCAGCCTGGTCTACAAAGTGAGTTCCAGGAAAGGCACAAAGCTACACAGAGAAACCCTGTCTCAAAAAAATGGAAGAAAAAAAAAAAAAGACAGAAACCTGACCAGGTGGTGGTGCACATCTTTATCCCAACACTTGGGAGGCAGAGGCAGGTGAATCTCTGTGAGTTCCAGGCCAGCCTGGGCTACCAAGTGAGTCCCAGATGGCCAGGGGTACAAAGAGAAACCTTGTCTTGAAAAACCAAAGGGGGTGCAGCTCACTTGTAGCTGCTGACTTATCATGCACAAGGCTTGTGTTTGGTTCCTGGTGTGGATCCCCCCACACCACACACAGCAAAACAAAAACTGATAGCTATGGAGGAGAGCTATCATTGGCGACACCTTCTGGATGGACCAGGGAATGAAGAGTTGTGTCATCTGAAGATGAAGTCAGTCCCTTCCCTGTCACAGCCTGCAGACCAACCCTCTGCAATGGACAGACAACCTGCCCACCTTTCAAAGTCCTGCTCCAGTTCCCTTTCTTCAAGGACCTCAGATATACTCTGCCTGGCCAGAACTTCCCCTCCTGATGACACAACTCAGTCATCATAATAGGAATGATGGGTACAGTGGACACACAGAAAAATAGTACTTGTGGATTGGAAAACATGTGAGTCCCCGGTTCAGTCCCAGCACCGTAGGTTGATAGTTTAGCTGAGAGTGAGACTATAGACATATATATATATATATATATAACCATTTGTATATATAGGCTATATGTGTGTATACATATATGTATGTGTGTACATATGTGTGTGTGTGTGTGTGTGTATATATATATATTGTTTTTTTTTTTTAAGAGAGGGTCTCATGTGGTCCAGACTGGTCTTGAACTCCCTGTGTATCCTAAGATAACCTTGAACTTCTGTTCCTCCTGCTCTGCCTCCCAAGTGCTGGGACTACAGGCATGCACCACCACGCTGCATTCACATGGTGTTGGGGATCAAACCCAGGCCTTCAAGCATAGGCAAGCACTCGCCCAAGCGGAGCGGCATCCCCGGATCCCACCCCTGTGTTTCTACTTTCAATGCCTGCTGAGTGACTTGAGAGGCCACCAGTGTCGTTAATTCCTGTGGGTACGTTTGAACAGCTGTATTGTGTATAGCTGCCGTCGTCTCTTTCAGAGTGCCCGGCTGTCTCATTGGTCTTCCTGGTTTCATCACTGAGAAGAGAAGGAGACATGGAAGGAGTCAACACTGCTCATTAGGGACAACCAACATGCACAGGGCTCCTCTACCATACTTAGAAATAAGACATCCCAGGTCCTCAGCATTGGCAGGTCTGGAGCATTTGTTTGTTTTGTTTTGTTTTTT